AGTTTCACAGTGCAGGGTAAAGGGTCAGAAAAGGTTTTATACAGAAAAAAATGTATCTGTAGACTCCAGGGCCATAGCTAGGATTGTGGAAATATTTAGGCCATGAGTTCAGTCCCCCTGACGCAGCTCCCACCCCCTCACAATGTTTTTCTGAAATACAAAACTTACTAACGTATTGTTTGGATTTTTCTTATTGTCAGTATTGTTTTGTTAAAACAGGAACTCTGTAAAGAGTTCTTAAAAGTTGATAACATGCTTAAAGACTGAGGTTAAAGCTACATGTCCCAGGCAAAGAGTCAACATCCTTACCAGTCGATCCATGAAGAAGATCTGGAAATAAATAAACACAATGTGAGATCAGATCATTGTTTCACTCTAACATGACATTGTTTAGCTGTGTAGCTTACATGTTTGGACACGCAAGAGGTTAGATTTATGCTTTATTGTTTCTAACAGTATGTTTCACTTCTAACATTACAAGACAAAAGGCAGATGAGGACTAACCAATGAACCATTGTGAAACTCTTAGATAACAAGTTTGGCTTTGGTTGCTGGAGTAAACGTCCCTAAATCCAATAGAGCAGGACAGACATTAAGCTACAATCAGTGCATACACAGTGGATGTATTAATCATGAACGGGGCTAACCTGTAACCCCACAAACGAATGCATTATGTAATGCTGCTGCACTTGGAAGTAATGCTGTCCTAGGTTCATACTCTAGGTAACACACTAGTTAACCTGACATGCAAACATTTGCGGTTTACATTAGAACAGACAATCACATTTTTGTCCTCATATTTTTAGTTTAGAAAGAATGCACCGTCTAAGCTCTTGTGTCTTGAGTGTCACTTTTGCTGCAGGTCAACGCTTCACCATTTGGAGAAATTCAAAACTTTGTATGGTTGCTAAGTAATGATTTGACAATCGCTGTTCTGGAGAAAGTTTTAAGTTAAATAATTCAGAGGCTTCAGTTTCCTCAATGGTGGCTATGGCCCTGGTAGACTCTCTTTTAGCTGAGATTTTGACCTGGATGACTTCAGTTAGAAACCACATCAGTTACTGTATCCTCCAATAGTTTTCCAGTGATGAGGACAGATAAGACTCTGCAGGTTGTGTGTTCACTTCACTGCATATTATCCTCCCTCTCAAACAAGTGTTTTACCAGCTTACTTAAAATCAAACATCAAAACCATAACTGATCTGGTCCAGATTATTGCAGATTATGTTTCGTTTAACCAACAGGGATGGCACTGACCCAATGACTCAGCTGGCTTGCAGATTTATACATCACCCTGCTGTGGCCTGCCCTTCGTTCTGTCTTACACCTTGATGAGCGCAGCCCTCTGGCCTGCAGTGAAATTAAGTAGCTGGCTGTATTAAATTACTCTCCTAATATAATAAACAGTGTTGTTGTTGTTCTCATTATCATCATCATTACAGGTTAATTACAACAAGTCATCAGGGACATTGAATTTCAATGCTTGAAAATGTAAATTTAGAATTTGTTTACTGTTGGGCTTCTGTAAATAGCATCATAGAGTACGGTCTAGACCTGCTCTTTTATGAAAAGCGCTGTGAGATAACTGTTGTTGTGATTTGGCGCTATATAAATAAAATTGAATTGAATTGAATTGAATAGAAGTTTAGTGAGTCTGACTAAATTAATTCAATCAATCGGGTTTCAAAAAGTTTTATATGTATGAGTTCAACAGAGAGACTTTCAAGTTTTGATTTATTTTGTGCCTGCATATCAATTTGGCATCTGCAGTGAATCAAATTATTTCCCAACCGTTTCACACCCAGTGATCTTTCACCAGTTTCACACCAAAACTGTGAATACTTGCCTCAGATTCACAGGAGTGTAAGGGACACATGAAAAATGGATGTAATCATATAACATTCACGTAATATGATAAACTTTAAGGAACAGTTCGCCATTTTGGGAAAGACACATATTGGCTTTCTTGTCAAGAGTTAGATGAGAAGATTGACACCACCCTCATCACTGTGATAGTTACATATAGTGATATACTTGGACACGTTAGTGACAGTACCTGGGTTCATCTAGACTTTCAAGGACAGCTGCTGAGGATATGCTCCAGTGTTCCTCTCCCTTAGCACAAGGGACATGTTGATGCTTTGACCTTACCTGAACAAAAGAGGTTAGATGGGCTGGGAAGAACATCGTCCACAGATTGGATTAGAAATTTAATCTGCAAGGGTTCAGCCTTCCACAAATTAGACCATGAGATCTTGCGGTCCATCCCCTGCTCCCAACTTGTCCATGCGCCTTGTTTCCACATCCCCACCATCTGGCTTGCACACAGCCACTCGACCCCAGCTCTCACTTCCTTCTGGACCAGGTCCCACCTCTCTATGCCTTTGGCTCTGATGTAGTGGGTTGCTGGAATGCTGCCTAAACCTGCTCCGCCAGCGGATCTCAGGAGCGCTTTGTGACGTAGCACAGATTCTGCCAGGTTCACTGCTCCTGTGCCCTCCACTTCCGTCCAGTCCTCACCTTAAAGCCAACCTCGGAGACTTTGGATGCATTGGGCTGTCTGTATTGCAGCACTTGGGTAATTATAAACTCCTCATACGGCTGGCAATCCCAAACACCTACAGAGTTGAATACTTTTCCTCCTCTCAAACCCCTTGACATTGGACAGTGTCAATTCATACACCCAATGTGGGGCTGCCAGACTCCAGATTTGGTTATTGGGTCTCTGCACTAAGAGTCAGCTGACCAGCATGACATGGTGTATCCAGTGAGGATCCCTGTCTTTAGTTCGTGTCACTCAGATGTCTATCCTGGAACCTCTGGGATTCCCCCCTGCTGCACCAAGAAGTCAATGTAGTTGTTTTTTAGCAGCTACCATTGGGCAACAATTCTGTACAGTAAATATGAACCTACAGCCAGCAGCTGGTTAGCTTAACTTAGCATAAAGAATGGAAACAGATATCCTGGCTTTGTGCAAAGGTAACAAAATAAAACTCTGATTACATGTAGTTTCTTTAATCCATACACAAACCTCTCTGCTGAGACAGAGCCAGGTTAGCTGTTTCCCCTTGTTTCCCATCTTTATGCTATGCTAAGCTAAGCTAACCGTCTCTTTGCTACAACTTCTTAAGATAGAGAAGAAGTGGTATTGATCTTCCCACCGACTTTTGGCACAAAAGTGAATAAGCTTAATTCCCAAAGTGTCAAATTATTTCTTTCTTTTCTTTAACATAGCTACCCCAACCCCTGAATGCTTGCTCCTGTCATATTATCTGACATTATTTGAAATAATTATTTTTCCCACACCTCTTTATTTCACTGTGCAGCTCCAACAACCAGCTGATGTCAGTCTTCTACGAGGCTCTTCATTGTTAGAGAAGGCTTTCTCTCGAAACACTCTTTCATTCGACACAGATATCATTTATCTATCTCTGTGTGCTTTCTCACACACTCGCTGGACTGGAAAGGAAGTATTAAACAAATCTGAATTTTCTTCTTAAAATCTAATTCTCTTTAAATTTGTACAATCGAATTTTAATAGCGCTTTCTGGTTGTAATCGACCCATAACGCCTAGGATGTCTCCAACAGCATGTTCATTTCTGAGGTTGCATCTGGTTGTACACTGAGTATTTCTACCTTCATAGATTTGTCTCAAACACTCAACATGCACTCCATTTTTCAATGTCTTTCTCTCTGCACTCGTTTCTGACTCACTCACTGCTTTAATAGAGGGTATGATCCAGTTCTCGCTCTCTCTTTATTTCTGTCTAGAATGAACCCAAACTTAGTGATTCATTTTCAATGCAATTCAAAAAACATTTGTAACAATCATATTTCAAATGTCCCCGTGTCTATTCTAACCTTGCAGGGAGGGCCTATTGGGCTCTTGCTACCACACAATGTGAGCCCAAGGCTGCCCACTAAAAATGCTGATTGCGAAATAAAGACAGGAGATTTCTATACAGGCCAGTGTGCGAGCGTGAGAAAGACATTCCTCTGTGTGGATGTCTGGTGGAACCAGACAGACAACCTTGAATCAACGTTTCACCCTGCAGAGGGATTCAGAAACTGTCAGACAAGGGATAGACAAAGAACAACCCGCTCCAAAATAAAAAAAACAACAGATTAGCAGACTCTGAACATCAGTATTCTGCATTCTGCATACAGCAATCTGGATGCAATTCCTTTGTCCTCACTGCGTTGAGGTTAGTCATGAATTCATGTTTTCTTCCAGGTGTGTCCATTTCCTACATTCCAAAGTCTATTGGTGACTGAAGGTGTTTCCTTGTCGTCTGTGTAGTGTAATATGCTGGCATAGGTGAGATTAAAATTGTGTCTTTATCTGTTTTTGAGGCAAGACAAACATTAGAACCTCCTGATCATGCTATAAATCTCTATGGTTTCTGTGTTCATCCTGTGTGCTGCTGGATGAGAGGGTTTCACTGTTACTTAAAGAACCCAAGTTGATGCCCTGAAATTACTTGTTTTATCTAACCAACACTCCACAACCTTGACATACTCAGTCAGACTAAAACGTGCTTGGACTAAATAATCACACACAGACACCACAATGTGTACATTGTTACATTACAATTGTGTGGTTGTATGATGGTGATGCATCAGATTGATTTTTAAAGTTTGGACTGTGTTGCCTCATAATCATAATGTAACACTAACAAAAATATAACTCAAGTGAGTTTCAAGAGTCTGTTAATAGATATTTATATTATATGGAAACAGTAGAAAAGGTAGGCCATCAAAAAACGGAGCAACATGGTTTGCAGAATGATAAGATGTAACGTTCATGTTAAATACTGATTTGTTATCATCAATAATAGGCTATTGCAGTGTGGCCTTTGTTTGTCGAGGGTGTCGCCCATGGGAGCAGGCGATATAGTGGACCTGTATTTATCTATACAGTAACGTTACATCGCGGGGGCGTGTGCACGAGCGAGGGGAGGGGAGGGGAGGGGAGGGGAGGGTACGTGTCGACGTCACCGGTTGGTCAATACTGTCAACGCCAAAATGAAACGCGTAAAAAACTTTTCTGTCGGACTCATAACTCGAAACACATGGCCGTGAGAAAACAAAGCGCTGAGAAAAGCCATTCTTCTCCGGGCTGTTATGGTTGTTGGGACGCGGCATTGTTCGCGTAGCAGAGGAGCCTCTCTCTTTTTTTTTTTTTTTTTTTTGTCTCTTTCTTTCTTGGGGTCGCACAGCGAGAGCCAGCGGGCTGTATCGCTTTAGCCGATTTGCTAGCTAACGTCAAGTTGTAAGAAAGTGGAGAAGACGGCGGCCAAACGGGAGCTTATCCGCCTACACAGACGTATGCGACGGATAGCAGGTAACACAGCCCTCCCTACTGCTTCCACCACATCAAATATAACCCGCTGACTAACGCATGTTGTGTTACAATTCAGATATCTTTTACTGTCCAAATCGTGGGACTGCAATAGCTGTGTTCCTCCCTTGTCTTGTCGGCGGCGGCAGCAGCAACAACAACGGTATACGTAACGTTAGCAGTCTTGAACGAACAACTTGGTTCCTGAAATCCACAGGGTTGCGTCTTGGCCGCGGCTGCTTGTTACAACCAGTCCAGGAACACCTGCTTGGCTTATATTGTAAAGCTGTGGCCGATATTTACGGTATCTGACACGTTGCTCGTCATTCCCAATAACGTTAACTGTCTACAATGCTTTACTCTGCATATGCACGCAGTGTAAAGCATACTGGGCTTATCAAGGCGAGGCCAGTTGTTGTCACATAGAGCCTTTACTTTGTACCTCTCACGCCAATTGCTCTTGTGCAGGGTGCACAAATCACAAAGGGGAAGGTGTATTTATTGCAAGACTCTGTTTCAAACGGCAATAATCACCAGCCATTTCTCAGTATTCATGTAATGACCCAACCTGCATGCAGAGATTGGTGAGATCAGGCTGGCCGGGGATTGTGCTTTAAGGGCAGCTACAGAACGAGACAACCCCATTGGTCTTGTGTAGCAATGCGGTAGATTTGGGCCGGTTTAGGTTTCCAAAAGGAACTGGGGAAATTGAACCGCTATTATTCATCTTTGGTCGATATGTCACGGGGTCATGGTCTGCTGACAGCAGCAGGATAGTCCAGCGGAACAAGGTCGACCGTGGACGGCAGAGCACCTCTCCTGTCCCGGGGCTGCCAGCCGCAGCGAGGCGGCTCTGTGTGCTGCGTCTTCCCATGGGGCAGTGTGAACCAGCCTGCCAGGTGAAGAATGCCAATGCATTATTCAGGCACATGCTGCATATGATCAACGTGGCCCAGGAATGTGCATAGTTGCTGCTGGGGGACAATGAGTGTGGTGTGGCTCCTCCAGGAAGTACTGCCTGCCTCAGCTTCCCTGTTTGAACATGCCAGCTTTCTGGTGAATGGGGAGTTGGAAAGCTCAGCCAAGGAGTTGCAAATCTTACAGCTGCTTTGATTTGTGGGAAACGTGTGTTTTGAAAGCTGTCGCCCTCTCTATTTGGATCCATTTTGAAGTTTATTCTGCAGTTGTTTTGAATGTTTCTAGCGCTCAAGTGGAACATTGTTCTGGTGACTCTGAGCAAAGCTGTAATCTCAGTAGTATCATTTAAATTGATGGGTTCATCTTGTTGAATTTGTCTTGAGGTGCTTGTTCCTGCGCTTTGTTTTCTTGTAGTGTACGGAACAATATGCATGCTTGACATTGGACATTTTAGAGTAAAAATAGAACTTGTAGGCTACATGCCTAACGTGGCACGTGCTTCACAGAGGGTGAAGTGCTTTGATTGCTTTGCAATGAGAATGCATTCACAAAAAATATGGCTCCAATATATAAGATGTCTACCTTTGTGTCTGCCATCGGTACTAATCTTTACCTTGCACAATCCTAATAGTCAGTCTTCTAGGAATAAGTGGTTTTAAATGTCTTGCGTAATTTCTGTGGTGTAATCAGAATTCCAGTGCATTTATCAGGCCAGAGTCCAGACTGGCGCAAACACGGTGCATCATAATAGCTGCTGTTAAAGAACAAATTAGAGGTCATTATGAGGATTCACCTAAGCATCCCATGTTTCTGGTGTTCTTTTTTTCTCTGGTTTTATTCTAGTAGGTACTGGAAGTTAGGTACTTGCTCCATGTTTTGTTTATCTGTAAAATGAGGCCGGAGAATTGATGATGCTCCAGCCTCACCCTGAGACATCCGGTGGCTCAGAATTCAGAATTTTTTGCTGTTGAATGTAAGCAGCTCAGAAAACCGATAAGATTACTGTCCGAGCTGTAACGTCAATCTGGAGTGAATGGAAAATCCACTTTGTGCAGCAGGGCAGTTCGTGCTTTTGCAAACAGGGTGCTATTTCAGTCCATGTCCACTGATTGCCTGTCATTTGAAAAGACAGACTTCTAGTTTGTTGACCCGACTTGGTGTACACTCGGTGTTTACACTTCGTATGTGTGCGTGTTTCCATCAAGGGTCTGTGTTAGTTCCCATTAGTTTAAATGTGTATCGGTCCACCACTTTGACGACTCTGTCTCTGGCTAATACTTCCACCACTGATAACCTTTCTAAATCTAAAAGAGGACCCAAAGGTCTAATGTACCGCTGATTTAAACGTGGGTATGGGCAAAATAAAGGGCATTGTTGAAGACAAACGTGTTACACTGTCGTCCACAGCCTCTGTCTCATGATCTGAACCCTTCACTTTATCTTGACAATCCTCTTTTCTTTCCTCGCTCTGCCTTTGTTTTCTTCTCAGGGATTTTTGGTGTGTCCTAAACAACTCACTGTAATCCCCTTGCAAAATGTGCATAGTAATGAAGACCTGTTATTCCAAATCTTAATGCTGTGCTACATACTGTATTCACAACACCCAATAACTCATTTTTTTCCTGTATTGCCACTCTTCCCTCTCTTGTCCTTAACTCTAGTGCGTCTCTTGTGCCTTTCATCTTCTCTTCCCCTTTTATAAACTGCCCTGCTTGTCTAGCTCTCCTGTCACTTGCATTAGACAGCCCATGTCTTCGGCTTATATTTTCCCCCTCTTCTGTCTCTTTCCCTTTCTTCTTTTCCTCGATGTGGACTGGATGAACCACACAGGGTGCCGCTTCACCCTCTCACCGCCGCCGCCTCAGTTCCTCTTCTGGCACTGCCCAGGATGACTGACAGTCATCGATTGAACCTGTCCATGTGCATCACCCTCTCTGTGTTCTGCCCACACCCCTCCCTGTCTCCTCCCCCGTTGCGTTTAGGTGAGTGATGGAGACAAGAGAGTTGACCGTGGTGGCTGGCAGCTTCGTGGGTTTCCAGCTTCTCTTCTCAGTGGTCAGCCCGCGGCTCTCCTTCACCATCACACCAGGTTACGGACGGCTGCCTTCCACCAAGCTCACTGAGTGGAACTCCAGGTGTGTAACAGGAACCCACTTCTACCCATCTGTGGGCAGGTTTTTTCTCTTTGCATCTAACCTATAAATGCTCTGGCAGTTTCATTTTTGTACCATGTGGAAACAAAAGCTGGACTGACTCTCTACAAAAGGTGTTTTAATTTATGACTGGTTGCATTGCGATACAGATAGGATCTCTAATTATCAAATGAGCTTTATCCAGCCAACCCAGCCATAAAAATCAGCCAGCAAGTTTGAAGCAATAGTTTGATATTTTGTTTTATTGCAGAGAGTTTGATGAGATGACATGATTGTATTACCTTTTTAGACCGAGCCAGGTTAGCTGTCTCTCGCTGTTTGTCTTAATTTGTGGTAACTTAAAATAGACTTTTTACTCTCTCCTGTTGGACGGGACAGACTTTAGTGAAAGTACATCCACCGGCAATTTGTTGTTTCGTGTGATTGTTTTGTATTTACTTTTTACATAGAATAGGATTGTTGTATAACTTTGCAATGCTGTGACGTCCTGACAAAACTAACCTGTTAAGCAAACACCAGTGCTTTTGGTGATGCAGCTCCATTGAGGCGAACCTCGACATTCCACGGGGCCAACTCTGCATCAGTCCACACAACTACATCTGTGATGTGAACAACTGGTCGAGCACAGAACGGTTTTACATTTTAAGCAGAAACCTCAGGGATAAAGTTCGGAGGGCCAACCATTGGTGGTTGCATAACATCTCTGACTCTTGGTTATTGGCTATTTTTTCTCTCTGCCTATTTTGCTGTCTGCCAGTACTCACAGATAATCCTTCATTCATACAACTGTAGTTTACTGTCAATATTTGAAAATGCGGGGTGTACTGACCATGGAATAATCTAAACCAAGTCTAAGGCCAAGCACTGATGGTTCACTTCAGAGTGGCCTACCGTTTCATAACAGCCAGCTTTCAGTGTGTCAGTATGTTGTTTATGTAACAACGACTTAAGTGCACGTAGAGAAGGGAGAAAGCCTTTCAAAATAGAGGGTAGGGTCCCATGTCTAGTACTGAACACAGCTCTACAGTATCAACTGTTGTTAACATTGTTAATTTCTTTGTCAGTTCGCCTTGTGTCTTTTCTCTACTGTCTGTCCTCTTCTTTTCAATTGTGCGTTCTTTCAGATATAATTAGGAACTTCTCAATACAAACACAAGAACCAGAGAGAACCTTTACATAGACTACACAGACCGCTATATTGACACTCAGTTATGCCAACTTCCTTATTGGCTGTTCCATTTTTAGACACTTCACTCTGATTCAGCAGTAATAATGGACTCATGCCCTCATACAGTAGTTGATCCGTAGAGCCAGTCTTGGCCGGGGCTCAGGCCAGCAGCTGCAGCCCGTGGACAGGGATAGCTGTACCCTGGACGCTGCACGGTGAAAGTGGAGGAGCTGTGATTATGGTAGATGAGAGACCTCTGGAGGGTCTCTTCATTGGCCCAGATAACAACACCAGAGGTCAAGGGTATGCTGTGTCAGGCCTGATTTTAAAAAAAAAAAAAAAAAAAAAAAAAAAACATTAATTAAAATAAAGTTACACTCACCTGGACATAGGATTAACATGGATGTAATTATATACCGTATGCAAGCATGAGCAGACATTTAACAAGACAGCGGAGACATGAGCACCCCCCCTCTTTTAATGATTCCCCATTAGTTCCAATTGCTGACGGAAAACTCCTATTACTATGTCATCATGTTACTTTGATCATTTGTGTGTGTGTCTGTCCTACTCCAGGTTGGTGTCGACTGTGCACGCCCTGATTGTGGGGTTGTTCTGTCTGTACATCCTGTGGTTCGATGATGCAGTCAACGCCAACCCTGTCTGGTAAGAGGAACAGAAACCATAAATGAAATATCCAACAGCAATGTCATAAAATGAAATAAGACAGGAGAATGTGTGACATGCAAATAAATGCTTCCCATTAACACAAAAGCAATTCTGTTATTGTTAAGGCAAAAACACTGACCCATAATACGTTGTCATTCTGGCAGGCTAAAAAAAAAAGGTTGTGTGAATGCTTCGGCCGTTTCTAGAGAAAAAAATCTGCCGTGTCTAGCTCATAGGGGAAGGGACGAAACAGATGAAGCGATCAAGATGGGAGGTGGGTGGCAGTGAAGGATAGCAAGGGGAGAAGATGGATCCAGTGTGTCAAGGGAGTCTCCAGAGAGTTGAGATACAGTGGATTTAGCCTTTGATTCTTGTCTTTACTATCTTCTCTCCATCTTCTACTCTCTCTGCTCCTGTGGACTATGCTGTTTCTTCTTCCCTGATATTTTCATTGTCATTTAAACATTTTTCAGCAGCTTTCTGTCTCTCTCTTCTGCCTTTATATTCTTACTCTTACTATTTTTTTTACTTCTTAAGCACTTCCTTTACCCTCTGTTTCACTTCCTCTCTAGCAGACAGACTAGAAGGATCAACAACTACAAGGATCCTTTTTAGAACAAACAGCAGCAGCCTAGACCTCTGCCAACCTCCCCCTTCTCTCTCTCACACACGCACGCACGCGCACACACACACACACACACCACCAGCCCTCCATGAGCCTCCTCCTGCCTCTAGCTGTTGTACCCCACATCTCTGGCCATCAAATCACTGCAGCATACCTCCCTTGCTCTTATTGTCTCTGTGTTGGCCCTGGTCAGCATCGCTGATGTAGCGAGCAAAGTGGAGAAAAGAGAAAGTGGGAGGGGGTCGAGGGGACGAAAGATGGGGGCTCCCTCCTCCTCCTACCATTTTTGATCTGCTGAGTGTTCACATACTTAGTATCTTCCTCCTCCCCAAGCCACTTTGTCTATACATATGTTCGGAATAGGATTTTATGCACTTTTTTCCGGCCACATAATTCCCTTCTGCTCCCACGAGGAAAAGGTGATTTCTCTGTGGAAATAGTTCCTGTGTTAGCGTAATATTGGTGTTCCAGCTTGAGCCTTGCAGTTTGCTCTGCCTGTTTATTTCCTCACCACCTCCTCATCTTATCCCCTTCACCAACCAGCACCTAGCCAATCCCCATAAGTAACCTAATGCCTTAAAGATCATCTAGTTGCAACACAAGAATGGTGCAAGCATGCATTCTCCAGTCAATCTGATTGTATTACAGCATCATTAAGACCTGTCACACAGCAGCATTGTTCTCTCTGCTGCTTTCAATAGTGCTCGAGTGGTCATAATCCATTGAGTTAACAAGCTCTGTCTGACCACCCCACTTCTGCTTCATTTCTTTATTGGCTTCTCTGGACTTGAACTTAACACAGATACCAAATATAGAGTTGTGTTAAATTGAGGTCAACCTGATTTACAACATTTAACTTAAAATATTGAGACACATTTGCAAGAGTTTATCCTAAAATTATTTTACTCTTTTTCGTGAGGCTTGTTTGTGTGAGCGTTTCAAGTCAGACACCAAACTCTCAATGTAAATGTCTTGTTTCAACTTGATAAATGCCACCTGTTTATTAGGTGGTGTGTGTCTGTGATCATCAGCATAACAGACGCCTGCAAATGTTTATATTGTGCATTCATTTACAAAAAACATGCCACCCATGAGCTATAAAACACATTTCACACCACAGAGCTTGAAGGAGGGCTCGAAACAATTACTACATCTGTCAACACCATCTCATTGCTGTATTGGGACTGAAATAAAGGAGAAATGGTTTATCTGAAGTATGATGGCTTAAAACATCTTTCTGAAGGCGCTTTTACACTGTGTGACAACAACAACTGTGTAAGTTTATTGCATGTCAGATTGTGTGAAATGGGATGAGATTCTGTCAGATTGAAAAGCATGTCAGATTGCGTGGTGGATTTGTAGCACTCCAGTGTAGAGCTGAAACGATTCATCGATCGATAAAATGCATCGACACAAATTCTTTGCATCGATGTTTCGTTTAATCCATGTACCTATACAGCACAGTGTTTCGCACGGACATTTATTACTGTCGCACATCCCGCTTACGCTGTGAACACGACGTGATTATGATGGAGCTGTTTGCAAAGTGGAGGAAGAGAGAGAAAATAGCGAGGGACAAAGAATACAGCGTCCAAAGTATGGGATTATTTCAAGCTAAAGAAAACAACAACTCTGTAATGTTGCCGTCTGTTCACCGTAAAATGAAACTTATGTCACCACAGACAAAGTAACAGCAACTTTAGCATTTAACTAAAATCGTGATTGATTGTTGAGTTGAAGCCAAAGTAAGCCGCAGTCCTCAGCTGAAAATGTACACATGTGAGTTTGTTCTCCTTTTTGGGCCGTGAGTTGTAACCTCACAGTCACGAGTTAACTGGGTGTCGGGGAGCTGCACCTTTACTCCCCTGCAGCTCTCTCTGCAGCTCAGACAATCCCTGCTACCTGCTAGTGCTAATCCATCCTTTCACCCATATTCTTTGTCTTTATAATCGACATCTTTATAATGACCAACAACAGCTGTTTCGTGTTCAGGATCGCTCGTTTCACATTTCACGTGTGTTTTCTTGGACACCAGCTGTCAGCTCGTGTAGTGTGTGTGTGTGTGTGTGTGTGTGTTCCTTTCACCGATCAGTCAGGTAGTGTGAACGCCACAGCGACTTCAAGACTGCCGTCACAAGATGGTTAGTTGTGTAGTCTGAACGGCACCGCCATCGGCCGACGCTGAAAGTCTTGTAGTCTGCACGAGCCTTTAGTCCAACTTGTATAGCACTCAGGTGATGTTTGTAAAGCAGCTGTCTGGTTGTTGGTCTGATGTTTGCTGTATGACACACTATGAATTTAAAAGGACAAATAAATATCTATCATCTATAAACGTGCACAGCTGATCCCGTTACTGGGAGTTAGTGGGAGGGCAGCGCCGGCGCCGCCAAGAAAAATACTTCTTAAACGACGCATCAATGAATCGAAGCTGCGAATACTAAAATCATCGTTAGCTGCAGCCCCACTCCAGTGTAAATCGAAGAAAAGTACAAGTGCCGAGGAACGTTGTCATTTTGTGTCATCCATCTGTGACTTCACAGCTACACAAGGTTTTTCCCACAAACTTCTTCAATGTTTCACCTGCCTTATTTTGGATTGTGTGCAAGCTTGTGTTTGTTCACTGAACTTTATTAAAACTGGTGCTTATGTAATGTAACGCCAGCGAGTGTGTTCTGCATAATTTGCATGTCGTATTCTGATCGGTTTGTCGACCTGAGTTGTAGCATCTGTTACATCTTGGGGCTTTCTTTGATCATACATTTCTTACCCTTGGTTTAGCCATTGGAGGACGTGTCTCACAGTGTAAAGATTTGAGCGCATTTCTCCCATGATTGTCAACTTTTGTCTCAGGCAGCCCAAAATGGCACAGCGTAAAGCTGGGTGCATCACACACACACTACAGAATATTATTAAATAGATGATTTGGGATTTCTGAAGTGCGGCTGTATTTATCCATAGTCAGTGAAGTAGATGGCGGTTAGTGTGTCCCCAGTTTGGAGAAGCAGAGAATTGTAAAGGATTCAAAGCTAAGCAATGTAGTGATATGGACGGGGTCATCAGCTTTTCTGGTTTGTAGGGCTTTAGTGCTATTTTACCTGATGGTTGGTTACAGCAGTGCTCTTCAGCAGATGTCTATCTGGCTTATTTGGCCATGGTTTAACATAATTCTCTTCAGAGAAGTGATCACGGCAAACACAGAGTTGTCTCAATGCTGCAGTGCTACTAGCCAGTCCAAGTCCAAATCATTCAGAGCAACACCGTGAAATCTATGTGGTGACCAGGACATGTCTTTAAATGAACAGCCTGGAAAAACACAAGCATACACCATCTTCTATTCTTTATAAAAGGGAAGTAAGATTTCATACTTTCTGACGCAAACAGCTGATCTCTTAAGAGAAAATGTAGTTCCAAAGGAAATGGTTGCCAACAGCAAGGTAAAGTGTTGAAAATATTAAACTCATAGCCTACACTTGAAGTACATTGCTTAGCTTTTGTGCCGGTACAACTCTGCTTCTCCAAACTAGAGACACACTGATCACCATCTACTTCAGGTAACACACAGCCTCACTGTAAAAATCTCAAATTACCCCTATAAAATTATGGTGCCAGAGGGAGCAATGCACCACCTCACGTGATTTCATGGGGAAGCAAATATTAACAAAATCTTTAGTTATCATACTACTGTTGGCTGATATTAAAAGTGAGTTTAAAATCTCACCCCTAGTTCCCGCTGAAGAATAAACCAAACCATGATGTGCAACGTTTACATTAGGATTTTGACAGTTTTTATAACATACTTAAAGTCTTAATTCATTGTGTTTAACTCATTATAAATCTTGCAGGCTCTATGCTGTTATATTTGTCCCCCTGTGGAGAAAAGCACACTCATACAACAGCCTGGACCACTTACGAATTTTTTTTCTGTACCTAGAAGAAAAGTACAAGAAAATAAGTGAATGCAACAAGTTATCTTAAATTACTGGTGCCACTTCAGAGCTAATCTATTCATGAGTGGTTATTACATGAGGCCCATTGTGGGCTATTGTAGCCCTTCCTGTGTGAAAGGCTTCATATCTCTTTCTAGGCCAAATTCCAGTCAGTTAACCATACATTGACAGAGGAGCTTAGATTCACTGTACATTTAATTAACTGAGGCTGGATCACACTGATGTGATTATCAAGAAGCTTTTGGACTCTGACGGCAGCCTGCAGACTCACACTATCAGTTAGGCTGGGTGTTATCCAAGCTTACATTTGCTTGCTGCATTTCACTCTAAGCGCAGCGGTAAAGTGATACAACTGATCAGTTAACAGGCGGAGCGCTGTCTTGTGAAACAGACATGAACAGAAATAAAAATAGAACATCGTGGCCAAGCCAATAAGAAATTCATGATTGTTGAGTTATGTACAAAGTTGCTTGATGAAGATGCAAAGAAATGCAGTATGCATATTTGTCATATAACTCATGTGGTGAATAGTCTGTGACAGTGGTGAGCCCAGGGTCACCCGGTGGGTAAGGTGAGCCACTATACTGTGTGTGTGTGTGTGTGTGCACTTTTGAGTGCGTATGTTTATACAGTGTATGTGTTGTGGGGTTGTATTACGCAAGCAGTCAGCTTGTGACTGATCCTATGATCAGATGTCAACTGAAGCAGAGACACTTTCATTGTTATTTTGAACAGCTGTTATTTGCAAGGACACCTAACGGTCACCATCACACATCACTACTGATTACACGACTGTTTAGTCAGAAACACAAAAGACTGCCAGTAACATAGATATTGTAATATGTTGTTCAAAGAGCTATTTATCATGTTATAGACACAAACAAGCTCTCTTTTTACAGTCTTGTCACCATACTGTTCTTTTTAATCTAACCATGTACAAGGGTATCACAGCAGGCTCATCAACATTAAACAGTCAACCTTGAATGACCTTTCTACATGATTCATGGTTAGTGTTAGTCGTGTTGCATTAATTCTTTTGCAAAATTGCATCATGTCCTCTACAGAAGTAGATTATCGATTGCAACAGTGAGTGCTTAAGATTTTCCTGCAGTAGTAAGAAGCTTTCCCCTCCTGCCTTGTTTATCATAAGGGTTGTAGGTTTACAGCTGTGTTGAAAGTACACAAATGTGTCCTTTGTTGTTCCACAGGGGTGAGCCTGGTCTCGTCAAGCTAAATGTAGCCATAACCTGTGGTTACCTCCTTTATGGTGAGCTACTTCTGTTTGTTCTGCTTTCAATCATTTCTTTTAGTACACAGTCCATGAGGGCTGTCAGTCAGTATATTGTAGGTTGGTGTAAATATACAAAGGAAAGGGACTTCAATCAGAAGTAACTTGATTACAGTATCTGCACATTAATATGTGAATATAAGGAAGCATTGATCAAAAAAACAATTGGGAGCAATGTTTCATATGTTCATATAAAGTGCCTTTCATGGAGTGTTTTGTCTTCCCCTGAATACTTGATTCAGACTGTTAGAAATGGAATAATTATAACCACAGTTTAGGTTTCATATAACATGTCAGTCTTAAATGTGATCCACATTGTCTTCTACAAGTCTATATTTTTAACTGTTTTTGTTCATGGGTTCACCACTGGGGCATTCGCTGCTCTTTGTCTACATAATCATCCTCCCAGTCAAACAGACGTATCCATTTGCCAGCTTTCTGACCTGTCACCCTGTCCTCTAGACCTTGTGCTGCTTGCATGTAACTGGAGCACTATGGGAGACAGCTTTTTTGTCTGTCACCACTTGGCGGCGCTCTATGCATATGGATATGTGCTGGTGAGTCTATCACTCCTCAAGACCTCGAGTGTATAAACCTAAACAGCAATTGAAGACACTGGATTAATCATATATCCTAATATGTTTGTGTCATTTTGCTTGTCTCTGTGTTTGGTCTTTGCAGACACGTGGCGTGCTTCCCTACTTTGCCAACTTTCGTCTCATTTCAGAGTTGTCCACACCGTTTGTGAACCAAAGGTGAGTCAGCCCTACTAGTGTATAATCCACATCATATCACCCTTTGTTTAACCATGTGACTGACATATCTTCCATTTCTTAATCACCCTCCAGGTGGTTCTTCGAGGCATTAAAGTACCCCCGCTCACACCAGATGGTGGTGTTAAACGGCATTGCCATGGCAGTGGTGTTCTTCCTGGTGCGCATTGCCGTCATGCCATCTTACTGGGTCAGTGTATTCGCCACCTTCGGCACTCCAGAATATGAGCGGCTGGGCTTGGGCGCCCAGGTGGCCTGGATCACCTCCTGCATCGCTCTGGATATCTTGAATACTATCTGGATGTATAAGATCGCCCGCGGCTGCTACAAGGTCATGACCGGAAGAGGGGCACGAAAGGTCAAGGAAGAAGCAGAGGCATCGTCTTCTTCAGACAAGAAACACGTCAACAACCACACAGACTAAAGAGATGTAGAGCAAAGCTTAAATAGGCACAGACCTAAGCAGGGAGGGAGGCTGGACATCCAGGAACCTCACAGCCTCTCTATTGCCATAGAGCGTCCCTCCCTCCCCAAAATCTATAATCTCAGCCGTTGTTCCCCTTGGCGACTAGTGGACCTTGCTAAGAGTCCTCAGGTTGTGACCCTGACCCAGGACAAGGACACTGTTCTTTGACAAACTCAAGCACCAGTCGATGCAGCCTCTGTGTTTTTCACTGACACATTAGTACCCTGCTGGGTGACGAAAAGGTAGAGCTCACAAGCACACTTAACTCCGTCAGTCACTCGCCTCGTTCGTCCCGCCCACCATTCCTCTCTCATCTCCCTTCAGTCTCCTCTCATGCTCAACTTCAGCCAAAGCCCTATCCTCTGAAGTGCCTGTGAAAGACAGGATAGCAATAATTGTGGAGGAATAAGATCACAAAGTCTAACAGAGCTTAGCCCCTTCAGAAGACAACCATCTCTCGCTCACTATTGCTCCTGAACAACTAGAAGCTTCTTCTGTCGTTCATACTCCGTCCACACTTGAGGTTACGTGGCCCACAGAGTGAAGAACTCTCACATCAGATCCATACAGTGTTTGTGAACCTATAGGGCTCTTGTCTTAAACTCATCAGACCTCACAAAAAGAGACAGAAAAACACCACAATGCCTCTTCTACAGTATCACCTGCTGTGGCCTCCTTGTAACAAGTGGCACCTGCCTATATCACCAGCCATGCCCCTTCAACGTCCCTACAATTTGGATTATATATTAAAAACTAAGAATATGCATGCAGAACAGAGAAGGACGACACCCTCCAACATCTTTGCTTCTCACAGGACGATTTTGCCTTTTCAGTATTCATTGAGTTCATTACTGTACTGTACTTTCTCTCTTAATTTAACTTGTTTTACACCCTTTGAAGTCCTTAGCAGTCAGAGTAAGGTGTCTCATTCAAATGACATCCATTGCAACCCTCTGCCTCACTGGATAGGACTCCACTATCCAGCTTGCACGTTTGGTTTTGTTCTACCTCTCCCCCTCCCCTGCCTTACAAAGCTTTCGCCAGTCTCTTTGACATGAGTTTTACACCTTCTTTTCCATTGTAAAGCGTTTTTAGCCTTTAAAACATACCTGTTGTGATACCTGATTCAGAGGGATGACTTCTTTCTCTCTCTCTCCCTCTCTCTCTCCTAACCTGTTGTCAGAGCTCATCCCAGCCAATGCAGTGAAACAGAGCGGCATCACTTTTCTCACCAAACTGTGTTCAGGCAGTGTATCTTTCTAGAAAAAGGCCTCCGGAGGCTTTTTATACTTCCATTTATCTCCTTTGTTCTCATTGGCTCTGAGAACCTAATTGGGGAAGGGAGCGTTTTGCGCTCAGCACAGCTTGTAAACTATATATACTATTATGGTGCCCTTCTAAAACACCGACATGGTGCTCTTCCTTTTGCAGAATGTCAGCAACAGGAATGCTAGCGAAGTGACATATCTAATTAATTTGGATGTATCAGTCTGTGACAACAATAGGCTGTCGCTGTCGATAGCAATGTGGCAATCTGCATGTGTTTTTGTTTCTATATAAACTGTATCATCACTACAGAGCATGGTAAAATTGACATATTTCTGTGATGCCTTAGTGAATAGTAAAGATAGATGAGTAACATCTAAATATTAATTGCATTAATCAAATGCTTAAAAAGGAGTTTGTTTGGAGTTAATGTTTTGATCTCAGAGCAAACAGAATGCATGTGTTTTTGATTCCTTTCTCCTCTCGCTGCATGTCTTTACAATATCTACACATACAGTAGCTATGCAGGTACTGTATGGCAAACTCAGTAATCACAATCACTGTATGCCACTCTGCATTTTCTTGGTTTTACAAATTCATGAATTCTTCTCGTTGTACAGTCTGCTGTCAGCAGACGCTAATAACTACCTAGCTGGTATCATGACAGACAGAGATCCAAGAGGATGTTTCAGATTTGGCTTTTGTCACACAAGTAGAAATTTACAAAGGACAAGCTTGCATGTTTACTCCTGTTTCCTTATCACTTAAGAGTACTCCACCGATTTGGCATTAAAAGTACACTCCTTTAACATTGTCAAACTGAAAATGGACAGGTTTTTTGTTTGTTTTTTTGTTAAGGGTCAAAATTGATGCAGCAGAACCAGAAATTTTAGCCAGGTTTCCATCCAAATGTAGTGCAAATTTTAACCAAATGTCATAGAAATCTGAAAGACATTGTTTGTTTCCAACATATCCGCATACTACTGTTATGTGAATATTAGAAGACGGTGCACTCAAACAGCTGGTTAAACTAATCCTCCAGTTGGGTGTCATCAAACCGTTGCAGAAGTGTTCAGGTCAGGTTTTTATCATGCACAAATTGAAAATATGCATAAAAACAGGTGGGTGGAAACGCAGTTATTGCCTTTTTTATTCCACGCATTCTTTTTCCCATTCAAAACCTGGGGCCTACATTACCCACGATACAATGCAACGCAAGCGCCGACAATTTGGCCGGAGATTCCAGTGTGTTATGCTAGAATAAGCTGATGTAGCTGCGAGCCTCAAGCAGAGATGAGGAGCTCCAGAGGTCTGGTAAGCTCACTTCTTTCTAACTCCACACCCCCAGATTTTGTTCATTTTCAAACTTGTAGTCTTCAGCACCAACTGATGCTGTTGGGAGCTTATCAGATTTCGCACAGCTCCCTCTTGAGCCAGAGAAGACTTCATTCAACTTTTTTGCACGTATGCAGCAGATGTGTAAAATCGGTGGAGTTTCCCTTTAAGTCTTTGTATCTCAAGTTGGATAGATAGTTATAGTAGTCTTAGGCTGTCTGGTGGTGTTTTCACTGTGGAACTATAAGCACACTCCCTGTGGAGCAATAACTCAGTGATCTCCTGTATTTCTGTCTGTCACCACAGAGGAGGGGCTACAGTATCTTGTGCCTTTACACAAATGGTGGATGTGATGCAGCCAGATTTGGATTAGCATGAGCTTTCTAATGTAATATCCAGTCATTATCTCCTCTGTATTCCATATGTATACTCTGTATATATTTTTATAATCTGCCTGCACAATGATTAATCCGGCCAAGTATTATAATCCAAAGCTGATGCCTCTCGGGGAGCCTGTTTTGTGATTTGATCTGATTTGATTGTGCTCTGCTGAAAACAGGGGTACGTCTCTCTGAATGTTGTGATGGGTTATTTAGTGGCATTAAGATGAGCTCACAGTGTCCAAGGTGATGAGAATGGAAATCAAACTATATTTTTGAAGCTCTTTAAGATATACAGGTAGTTGATGGGAAGGCTAACATCACCGGCCTCCTAAACTCAATGCTGTGAATAGTTAATATGAATAAAACTATAATATCGTTCTGTCACACTATAATAAGTAGACTACAGTGTGGGAGATTTCCTGAGCAGAAACGCTGATACACTTCTTCTTGTAGCAGCTTCCTGTGGTGTAGGTTTTGTTTAGACTGAGTGCACAAAGTAAAATCTACATACATGTGAATTACAATACGTTTTCTGGTTGTCAATGAACTGGACGGATAGAGTTTTTGTATTTGTCCGGGTTTTCTACAGAATATATTTCAAGACCTGATTTGTGTGCTGTATCTCACTCCCTGGGGCTGTTGGAAAACCGAATTGATGAATTAATGATTTGATAAGGCTGAATTGTTTCAGGTTGGAACAACCACATTGCCTTTGTTTCTTTGGGGAGGAAACAATTATTCATTATATTATATAATGAATATATTTAAAAAGAAAAAAAAAGAAAAATCTGTCAAAGGTATATACAACTCTATATATATATATATTTGTGATCAATTATTGAAACCAGATGCACACTACAAATTAAACCTCTGTTTAGGTCATATTTTGCATTACATTTGGATGACAGGATGTCTTCTGCCTGAGGTACAGTATAACAAAGCTGCATCAGAATCTGGTACTTCAACAGTGTATTCTGCTGGTCTTCTCAAGGTTACATGTGGTACTTTGGGCAACAGTTATTTTGGCCCATTTTTGTTCTGAAATACTTGATCCTAGGTGTACAATGAAATAGGCTGGACTCAATTTCAGCGCCACAAGGATGACAACATTTGTACAGTGGTAAAGAATGACTGGAAAATGTGCAGACAAACTGATAATCAAATAACTTGTCAACTTTCTTCTTTTGAATGACTTGCCAGTGTGGCTTATGGTCCTTCCCCTTTTTTTTTGTCTCTCCTTATTTTGTCTTTTAATGCAATGCAATTTCTTGTTTATGATCTGTCTTTGTTTTCTGGAGATTTTAATGTGAAACAGCCTACACTACACACAGGCCTTAGGGTCCTTGTCTTAGCATTACCTTGTGACTTGGATTGTTGTCCTCTACAATGACCACTACTAATGATCATGTAACTGTAGTGCTGAAAGCTGAGACTTACTTGAAAGTGTTGCTCTTCAATAAAGTTGAAGACAAGAATCTAGTTGCCTGACTCTTTCATTTTGACTTATTTTACACCAACCTTAGTTTCCTTTTAACTTTTGCACTAATTCATCAGTTTCCTTGGTGTCTGAACAGTGACGTCAGCATGGGAACGACCTGCTGTATCAAGACAGCAGTGTACACCAACTGGTCCGGTCATTCATCAGCTGTGGGCTGTTGTAACCAGGCAAGCCAACACCAGCTACTGGAAGTTGGCACTACTGCTCGACTTTTTTCTTTTTTAAATTGTGTGTAAATGATGGCGATGTTCAACAAAAAAGGAGAGGTGAAGTAGAGCCTGAGACATCAGAAATTAGATGAAAGGTTAAAACGAGAGGATTGACTGAATTAGGGATGAAAGGGATGAAGGAGCGTGAAAAGTATAAGATTTGGAGGGGGTGGGCGTCTGAGCCACAACAGGCCTGTGATTGAAACCATCTTGTGTGTGCGTGCGTGCACACCAATCGGTCAAGGGGCTTGGTCAGAGACCGTGCCTGAAGAGCTTTACCAAACATGGTCACGTAACAGAGGCTCAATGAAAATTTCCTCCTGCTAGTAGCAGGCTGCTACTACAGCACACATTCACAGTGTAGACTTGCTGTTCACCTTCACTCACGCACAGGATGAAAATCATCACCTGCGTGTTGTGTGTACACACAGAAACACACCTGCATGTTACAAAAACACACTGTCTGTCGTCACTTGATTCAACACTGTTATCACATTACAAACGCAAAGAAGCATGTGCAGTATACATCATACATTTCCTGCTGTTTTCATTGCATGACTGATTCTGCAGAAGAACCACAGCCTGTCATGGGTGTTTACCTTCTGTCGACTGTGTTAGTAAGACATTTTAACTTAATGAAGTTGGGTCTATAAATGTCATATCATGTCCTCTTTCCCTCTTTACAAGGTCCATTTGAGTTTATTCCTTCTGCGCACAAGCAAGTCACTATATTGAGACAATTATAGTTATGTACTAGATTATAGGGATATGCCTATTTCAGGAGGAATTCAAGCTGAAGACCTGTTCCAGACTTTGGGAAACAAAAACGGATCAACAAATCAACATTCTGGACTTTAAAGGAGCTATAAACAGGCAATTTTACGAGGTACTTAAACCCTTGACCAGAGTTGATCGAAATCACTTTTAAACCAACTTAACAAGCAGCATTCAACAGTCACCTCAGCCAAGGTAGGTGCGGTGCTCAGATGTCATGAGCCTATCACAGCCTGTGAGTAAGATCAAGACACAAGGTAGAGGGATAAGTGTGTTTTACCACATTTTCAAGTGTAACTTGAAAAGGCTACATTTACTGAGGAAAACGCGCATGTGCTTGCTGATGAAAAATTCACAGTTGAAATAGTTTAAATATTACAACAGTTGAAGTTGTGGCTAGAGAGGCAGACGAAATATGAATACCAAAAGACTTAGCAGTTATTAATTGAATTAGAGGTTAAAATGAAAGTGCTAAAAGAAGTTGAAGTGTCATTTATTAAGTGTAATTGCTGAGTCAAGCTGAAGCCAAAGCGCTAAGAACGAGTTGAAATGTATAGGTGAGAGTGTGTCTGCTGTGTAAGTCCTGAAATAAGTCAGTGCCAGCTCAAATGTATTAACTGAAGTGTAAGCAATAAAAGCAGATGAAGTAAGTTGTGTTGTGATGTGAGACCTGAAAGGGTTTGAAGTGTCATTTGTAGTGTAGGCATTGAAAGAAGTTGAAAATGCAGTTGAAGAGAAAGCGATGGACGCAGTTGAAATGTGGTAAAAGAAATTGAAGCGTCAGCTGAAATGGAAGTGGTGAAAACAGTCGAGGTAACTGTGTGAGCTGTGAGAGTTATGAGAGCTGAAGAAATGTGATTGCATTCATCCTCAAAGAGAAGACGTGTGTCATTCAAAGTGGGAGCATGAAACACAGGAACGCCGCTGGAACGTTGGTTAACATGTGAGTGGTGAAATCGGTTCAAGAGTAAAAGTTCAGCTGAAATGTCAGTGGATGTGAAAACACCGTTCAAGTGTGTGCCCAGTGAGCAGTTTAAAATGTAAGCACATTTTACAAGTGTCAGAACTGGAAGTTTTCTGTCAGTGTAAGAATAAAATCAAGGGATCACTACAGTCAGTATAGGCAGTGTAAGAATATCAGTTCACATAGACAGCTAACAAGGGAAAGTGCCAGTGAAAGTGTAAGTGATGAAAGCGCTTGAAATCTTATTTAAAGTGTAAGTAAATGAAGTTTGAAGAAGAAATTTCATTCAGAATGTTGAAGAAGTTGAGGGTCAAAAATTATCGTGAAGAATAATAAAATGATGCTAACAATAATAATGTATAAATACAAGAATTTGAGCATGTATCACTGAAGGCGTACACACTAACTTGTAATTGAATGGGTCTGAGTTGGCACTTGTGGTTTTATTGACCGAATCCAGAATTGTTTAAAGCTTCCTGTCCTACTGTAGCGACAGGTTGGAATTATGATGCCATGAACTCAGCCTCCAGAACTCCTCTGAGTTACGTAGGATCTTGAGGACTTCTACCATAAATAGCCAGACAGAGTGGAGTGAGGAGAGGGGTCGATGGGTGGGGGGAGAAAATACTTTCTGTAGAAATGCCCTTCTGAGTTTCTGACACTGCACTAATCTCCCTCTCTATCCCCCCTGTCCCCACCTTTCCGTATTTTTGCATCTTTCTTCCTAAACAGTTTTAGTCCTCTGTCTGCACTTTGTCAAATTTCATGACTCATGACTTGTCCTCAACCTTGTGCCTCGACACACATCTCTATATTCAACCTGGAGCTCTCCTGCCATCCAAGATTTCTCTCCAAAGATGTTCACCTGCTGATATATCTCTTAAATCTGAAATACTGTCTCGGAAATGTGTGCAGTATGTTTCAGTCCCATTAGAAATTCCAAATTGTAAATCATCAAATAGTTTCTCAGCTCCTTTGTTTGGATTGCTGGATTGTTTATGATCTTGCCATCTGTACTTAGCTATTGAAAAACTTGGTCTCATAAAACACCAACAGCTATTTAAAGTAAAAACATTGTAAATACAAAGTGCATTATCACAGACGTTCTAAAACAGTGAAAAATGTACTGTATTTCCTTTAAATGAGGCCTCTTTAGTCATCAGCTACCATTCGCATGACATTTTGCAACACAATAAATGTACCCAGACGTAGCCTATTAGCCTAAGTGTCAGGTGAACTTAAAGCCAACATAAACAGTAAAGCCCACCGCGCAGTAAATATCTGACTGTAGCCTGTTATTTTTAGTGTGAGGGATACCTTCACGAGACATTACATCTTTATCCCTCTCCCGCTCAGCTTAGGCCCTTCCCTTCTCCCATCATGCCCAAATAAAGTGTCCAAATTCCATGTGTGTGCTTCTTCTTTTCTCAGTGAAATGTTTATAAGACCCTCGCTTAGTGTGTGTGTGTGTGTGTGTGTGTGTATAAGTGGGAATGTGACTGCATAAATTAGCATGTCTCTGTGCTTGTGCAAAATTTCATATGCAGAATTCTATGTTCCAACAGGCTGTTTATGGTAATCTGCTGTACGACAACACTGGTTCATCAGAAACATTATGGATTACAATACGAACACGTATGAGGTGGAAGGTTAACTAGTTTATGAGGTTTATTATATTATCTTTTTTAATTGTAATTTCATTTGATTATTAGCCAGTTATTGTTGCACTGAGGTCATCAGGGCCAAAGCCCGTCATGGTTTCGGGTTTGAGCTTAGTGATTTCCTGTTTCATTTTGATAGTGTCCTTTCATTGTGTGTCTTGTGTAACTTTGCTTCCTGTCTATGTGTGCCTCTATGATTGTGTACCCTGTTCTGATGTGCTCTACCTGTGTCTAATCATCCTGCCCTGTCATGTGTTTTTCTTAATCTTTTGTGAGTTTGTGAGTTTGTGAGTTGTGTGTTCTGTATTTTGGGTCCAGTCCCTTGTGTACTCTGTCACATTTTCACTCCCAACTCGTCACACACGGACGCTTGGTCAAGACCCCTTGGCGTCTCTTTTGAACGCCCTGGGTACACCACGTAGGAAAGTCAGCATGCAATGTCTGGTCAAGTTAGCTATAATAGGCTAAATATCAAACGTCGGGTTAGACTTTTAAAATAAAACTTGCAATTTGGTTAGGTTTATGAAAACATCATGGTTTTGGTTAAAATAACAACGTTACTTATGTGACTTTACTTACGGAGGTTAATATTATTTGCGCGACAAACGAACACCAGTCTCCTGAGTGAGAGTCTAGTTTCTGGTCCACATGTTCACCCCAACCCCCTCCTTACTCTGACTTTTCTGTTAAATATCCTACATCCACCTTTAGCGTTAAAAAATGACACTACAGGGCTTCCCCCAGTGCATTGAACTACAAGGTTAAGGGGCTCCCCGCTGCGTTACAAACTGACGCCAAGGGGTCTTGACCATGAGTCCATATGTGACGACTTGGGTTGACTCTGTACTCGACAAATTGTGACAGTATTAACTGACCAATTATGGATCCAGAGTATATAGAGGAAAACCAGTAATGACAGACGTAGAGAGGCAGTCCTGTCTCTGGCTCAGAACAAAGTGTCCACAAAGCTGGCTAAGGGACTCAATACCTGAATGGGTCACAAGGTTCCTCAACACTCCTTTTGCCTGCTTCCAAGCCAGCTACCTTCCAGCCTGATTCCCTCCGACCTGCCAGTAGCCAGTCTTCCCTCTGGCCTGCTGACAAACCACCTCCACTCCAGTCAATTAGGCTCATGTTCTTGAGCATACCCCCCTCCAGTCCTGATGCTGCTTCCCTATTGCCTGCTTTTCCTGAATCATACAAGAAGGGTATGAGCTGGTTGAGTTGCCACTCTGACATCCAGTGGTCGCCTTTTAAGGGTACACACCTGACACTCCAGCCATCAGACTCTGGTCCTGATCTCCGGTCACGTTGCCAGCCTCCTGCCAGACTTTCAGAGGGGCGCTGTCTTTGCCACTGGCCTCCAAAGGGTT